ATCCAGAGGTGCTGTGCTTGGAGCAGGGGGCGAAGGGGTGCCTTGGTGAGCTGTCTGTGCCTCCATTCTGGCCTGACTGACCAGGCTGTCTGTCTGTCCCTCACAGCCAGCCACAGGGCTTATTGACTACGACCAGCTGGAGGTGACGGGCTGTTCCGTCCCCGTCTCGTCATCGCGGGCACCAGCGCCTACGCGCGCCTCATCGACTACGCCCGCATGAAGAAGGTAAGTGGTGATGGGTCTGGGGGCTATGGTCACGGGGATGGGGACGGTGTGTGACCCTGCTGTCCCCAGGTGTGTGAGGAGGTGAAGGCCTACCTGCTGGCAGATATGGCACACATCAGTGGGCTGGTGGCCGCCAAGGTCATCCCTTCGCCCTTCGAGCACGCGGATGTGGTCACCAGCACCACACACAAGACCCTGCGCGGCGCCAGGTGAGGCTCTGAGCCCCACCCTGGGGGTGCCCCCACCTGCTGCGTGGGGTAGCATGGAGCAGGGCTGTATTCCACGGGGATGGAGCTGCCTGGGGGGACTGAGTGCCAGCATTGCCAGCTCTCTCTTGCCACCAGGTCAGGACTGATCTTCTACCGCAAGGGCGTGCGCTCCGTGGATAAGAAGACAGGGAAGGAGACGCTCTACGACCTGGAGGACAGGATCAACTTCTCAGTCTTCCCCTCCCTGCAAGGGGGACCCCACAACCACGCCATTGCTGCCGTGGCAGTCGCCCTCAAACAGGTCTGTGCTGGGGCAGGGGGCTCAGGGCAGGGGGTGACCCAGTCCCCGTGCTGATGGGGTGTCCCCCTGGCCCAGGCTAGCTCCCCAGCTTTCCGGGAGTACTGCCAGCAGGTCCTGAGGAACTCCAAGGCCATGGCACAGGCACTGCTGCAGCGTGGGTACACCCTGGTGTCAGGTAGTGCTCCATCCGTGTGATTTCGGGGACAAGGAGGGATGAGCTGTGGTGGGGTCGAGTGGCTTCACTGGGGCTCAGTGCCTCTGGAAGCAGTGGGGAGCGCGGGTGGGTTGGGGGGGAGAGGAAGGGGTGTGAGGCCAAGCTGCATAGAACAGGGACCGTGCTGCAGAGAGGGAAGTGATGGTGAAGGTTTGGGAGGGCTCAGGGTTCTTCTCCCTTGGGAAGGGGTGGTGAAGGCAGGTTTGGGAATTCTCAGGGGTCCTCACCCCTCTTCTTTGCTCCCCAGGTGGCACTGACAACCACCTGGTGCTGGTGGACCTGCGACCCAAAGGCATCGACGGGGCGCGGGCGGAGCGGGTGCTGGAACTCGTCTCCATCACTGCCAACAAGAACACGTGCCCAGGGGACAGGAGTGCGCTGACACCGGGAGGGCTGCGTCTGGGTGAGGGATGGGCCCTGCAGGGGGGTTCCCCAGGCTTTCACCCCAGGGCATCGCTGCTCTGTTTCACCTTTCTCTGAGGAATCCCAGTGGGAATTCAGAGCTAATCCTGGCCCAGAGAGTGATGCAGGACTCCATGGGGGCTGGGACTCAGGGAACCCCTTTATGGGCAGGGATTTGGGGAGCCCTTCAGAGGACTGGTGCCCCGTGATGGTCCCAGCCCTGATAGACTCTGTCCCCAGGTGCCCCTGCGCTGACTTCACGCCACTTCCGTGAGGAGGATTTCCAGAAGGTCGTGGAGTTCATTGATGAGGGCATTGCATTGGCCCTGGACGTCAAGAGCAAAACCAGTGAGTGGGGGGGGGCCCATCTCCCCCCATTTACCCCCTCTCCCTCCAGGGCATGGGTACTGTGCCCTGTGCTGATGCCAGCCCTGCTCCCCCAGGCTGGTGCCAGCCCCCCCTGTGGGTACCTGGGCAGGGATGGGGCTGCTGTGGGGTCCCCCCTCCTCACCTGTGCCTCCCCACCCCAGGTAAGCTCCAGGACTTCAAGACCTTCCTGCTGCAGGACACGGGGACGCAGCAGCGCCTGAGTGACCTGCGCCACCGCGTCGAGACCTTCGCTCGTGCCTTTCCCATGCCTGGCTTCAGCGACCACTGAGGGGGGCACGGCCCTGCTGCCGGGCTGGGATCACCGGGGGCGAGGCAAGGGGAGGCTGAAACCTCTGCCCTCTGCCCTCCCCGTTCCCCTTTGTCTCTCCTTAGCACTTTGGGCGCTCCCTCCCCAGGTTGAGGGGCTGCGTGCGCCTGTCCTGCTCAGTGTTAGGGTGCAAAGACCTCCCCACGCTCTGACTGGGGGGAGCACCGCTTATTCAGCCTCATCTTGCACTTTTCTACGGGGGGGTTGCTAATAAAAGCGAGGGCAGAGCCTGGAGGTGTGTGGGTGCTGCACTGGGAGGGAGACGGGTGGGGGACAGGTCCCTGGAGTCCATCAGCGCTGTGCCAGGAAACCCAGGGGTCTCTGTGCCTCGGTGTCCCCACTCAGTGGCTCTGAGGGAGGGGGGCATAGTGCGAGTTGGGTACAGTGAGGGGGCATAGCCTGACCTGCCCTCCCCTCCTTCCTCCTGCCCCAGAGAGGAACCCCCAGCAGCAGGCAGACCCCTGCCCCCATCATGTAACCTGTACATGCAATGCAGGACACACATGAACATCCACACGTGTGTTGTGTGTGACTCCATCCCACCCTGCTCTCTCCAGAAGGGCTGGAGGAGGAACCAGGGGCGACCCAGGGAGCGTGGGAGAGCGGAAATGTGGCACCAAGGGTCTTGTCCTGCTTCCAGGGGGATGTGAGCCCCTCCCCAGCCTTCCCGAGGGGGCGATAACATCTCCTGCGTTAACCGCCCTGAGAAGTCATAAATAACCCAGTTGCCCCCCCAGTTTATTACAGTCCTACGAGTTTCATGCAGGCTCGATGTAATGGTGAGGGATGGGGGGGGGTACAGC